AAAAAAAAAAAAGTCTCCTTCCTCTACTCTGCTCCCCTTCCCCTTCCTAGAGACAACCTCTATTGCCAGTTTCTTGTGTCCTTCCTGAGATAATTTAGGTACATGAAAGGATACATTTTCTTCCTTTCATAAGTAGTATAATAAACACACTGTTCACTTTGCTTTCTTTTCTCACTTGATACATCTTGCAGATTGTTCAATTTCAGTACATATAGATCTGCTTTTTTTAATGGCTGCGTACATAGTGTTCCACTATGGATGGAACAGTTTGTCTAGTTCATTTTCTTTTTTGTAATTAAAAAAAATTATTAAAAATTTATTACAAAATTTTTTTTAACATTTATTTATTTTTGAGTGACAGAGACAGAGCGTGAGCGGGGGAGGGGCAGAGAGAGGAGATACAGAATCCCCTGCAGGCTCCAGGGTTCTGAGCAAGCTATCAGCACAGCTGACCATGAGGTCATGACCTGAGCTGAAGTCAGATGCTCAACCGACTGAGCCCCCCAGGCGCTCCTATCTAGTTCATTTTCTGTTAATGGTCAGTTAGTTTTTTTCCAGTCTTACTGCCATAAAATAATGTAATCACATCCTTAGATATGATTTTTTTTTTTAAGTTTATTTATTTATTTTGAGAGAGAGGGGGGTTGGGGTTGGGATGCGGGCAGAGAGAGAGAATCCCATGCAGGCTCTGCAGACTCTGTCAGTGCAGAGTCTGACTCAGAGTTAGAACTCAGGAACCCTGACATCATGACCTGAGCTGAAATTAGGAGTCAGATGCTCAACCAACTGAGCCACACATGCACTGACCCCCGCCTTAGATATACTTGTTTAGGCACATATATGAGCGTGTCTGTAGAATAAATCATAGAAGCAGAATTTCTGACTCAGAGGGGAAGTCTAGTGTTTTAAGCCATTTATTAATTTAAGTTAGTAAAATTGTCTCCCAAATCCATAAGAAGCATATCCAGAATATGTACCATATTTCTTTTCTATCTTCAGGCTACCCGGTTTGAGAAGCATGGTTTTAAGGTCTTTTATTTATTCAGGTGACATGGCAGACAGAATAGTGGGCCCCAGAATGTCCATGTTCTAACCCCTGAAACCTGTGAATATGTTACATCGGCAAACAGAACTTTGCAGGTGTGATTAAACCAAGGATTTTGAGATGGGAAGACTATCATGGATTATCCCAGGGGGTCTAATGTAATCGCAACGATCCTTATAAAAGGGAGGCAAGAGGGTCCTCTCTGGGCTCAGACCTAGTTTGCAGTGACATGGCTAAAATGCCCCAAGAAGGTCAGAATTGTCAGTAAATACAGGAGCCATTTGCCTCCCTCAGGAAAATGGTGAAGAAAATTGAAATAAGCCAGCACTCCAAGTACGTTTGCTCCTTCTGTGGCAAAACAAGGATGAAGACGTGAACTGTGGGGATCTGGCATCGTAGTGCCTGCATGAAAAGAGTAGCTGGTGGCGTCTGGACCTACAAGACCACTTCCGTTGTCACAGTGAATTCTGAGGACTGGAGGAGTCTTTCTTCATTTGAAACATTGCTAGCCTATAATAAATGAGTTATGTAAACAAAAAGGGAGGGAGGCGGCAGGAAGATCAGTGTCAAAGAAGATGTGTCAACAAAAACAGAGGCGGGAGTGACGCATTGCTGGAAAGGGAACACAAATCGAGGACTCGGGGCAGCCTCGAGAGGCTGGAAAGGGCAAGGAATGGATTCTCTAGAGTTTGGAGAATGCGACCTTGCTGACACCTTGACTTTAGTCCTGGAAGACCTATTTTCAGACTTCTGACCTGCAGAATTGTGAGATAATAAATTTGTGTTATTTTAAACCTCTTAGTTTGGTAATTTACAGTAGCAGTGGGGAACTAATACAGGTAACACTACTGAATAGCAATTTCTGAACTTTGTCAAGTACTGTGTTGGGGATGTGAGCACTCTCCTAGCTCTGAATTCAAGAATTGAAGATCTAAAAGAGAAGCAATGAAGACATTTTGCTGCATGAAAGAAGCCTTAGACAAAAGAACACACACTGTAGGATTCCATTTATGTGATGTTTTATGACAGCGTAATTGAATCTGTAGTGGCGACATAATTAGAGCAGTAGTCTCTGGCGGGAGGGGGATGGGTTTAACTAGGAAAGGCCATGAGGGAACTTTGTAGGGTGATAGTGATGTTCTGTCTCTTGATGGAGGTTTGGGTGTATGCTTAGCAAATACTTAAAATTTATTTTCATTTTATTCTATGTAAGTTTAACTCAAAAACTATGTAAAGCAAATATTATTGTGCTCTAGCTAATAGTGTGCATGCTGAAATGTTCAGGGGTCATGTGTACTGATGTTGACAATTTCTTTGAAATGCATCAAAAAAGAAAATGGACTGGTAGAGAGATGGATAGTTACATGATAAGGCAAGTACAAGTACAGTAAAATGTTAATGCTAGAATGAGGTGAGGTGGTAAATATATGGGTGGTCACTGTAAAATTCCTTCAACTTTACTGTGTGTTTGAAAACTTTCAAAATAAAATGTTGGGAGAAAAAGAAAAGAGAAGCAAACTGCATATTGCCTAGACAAAGCATGATTAGCCATTAAAAAAATTTTTTTAATGCTTTTTTTTTTTTTTT